ACTTAGGACATCATGAAACAGGGATTTGAACCCTGGCAATCTGAACCCTGGCAATCTGATTTCAGAGCTTACACACTTACTAAACATTCACAATACAACCTTCTAGGATACCTTATTTTCTACACTCCAATCCACTAGTCTTCATTTGAATTCTATTAGTTAATTTCATATTAACAGATAAAATAAGTTTAAATAAGTAAATCTCGGTATTTTCAATCAAGGCGTAATCACACTTACCATATGGATACTGCAAGATTGAAAGTGCACCATTACTGTATTCTTCGTGAGAAAACTTATCATTACTAAGACATTTGTCAAATTCATCAGACCCCACCAACACAGGTGTTCTGGAAGGAGAGTCTAAAAGAAAAATGGCAAAATCTTAGCTGTTATCACAAGTAAAAACACATGTGCCTAGATCATAACAATAATGTTTTATATCCTAGTTTGGTGAGTAGCATCTGGGTCTCAAAAGCTTGAGAGCAGCACTGTAAAACACAACTATTGATCTCTATGTGTCTGAAGCAAACGAGAAAGAAGGAAACCAAAGACTCAAAAAAGAAGCTAGTCTATATGACTATTAGTCTACATAAACCATGGCCTCACCTACCTCAATATCAGTGGAACTAGATGGTGCCTGGCTACCACTAACAACCATTCTGAGGAGGGGCACAATATGTGGTCTCGGTAGAATGAGTAAAAAAAACGTAGAAAAAAACTCAAATTCCTAAAAAAGTAAACTTACTGTACCAGTAGAGTCCAGAAAAATTCCTGAGAATATTGCCTTGGGATACCCTTTAAATTTGGAATTCAAACCACTCCCAAAGGTTGCCTATCAGCCAAAAGACTGAGTGGCTCATAAAATATAACATTACTCCTAAGTACTGTACTTCTCTAAACAATCATCTAAATGAAATCCTACACCAAAGATTAGAAGGCAAAGGGGGAGACAAGGAAACAAGATTAATGGAAACAGAACAACCAGAATGGAAATAGTGAGAATACTGACACATTGTGAAAAGTATAAGCAACTTCACTAAATAATATGTATAAAACCCACTACTGTCAAGTT